GCTAAAGTTATGATGGAGAAGGGGAGATGGGGGGAAGTCACTTTCAATTAATCGGGAGAATGGTTTTCCATATCACTTATATTGTCCATCTCTTATCTCTATTTAAGTTGTTGTGATGTTTCTGAATCTCTATAGCCTCTCTGTACTTCCTTGGGAAATACGAGATAGTCGTAACTATTGTTGTTGTTTTATCAAATAGTATTTGATGTCCTGTTTCTGATAATGCTGACTGTGCGACTGTGTTTTAATCTGACCTTGCGTTAATGTTTTTTCATACGTACGTTGACCATTCTCCTGGTTTCCCCAATGTATACTTGAGCAAAGTATTTTATACACTTCTGCTGAGGGGGGATCTTTGATCTTTAGGATTCCTCAAGATTTGTCCTATTTTCTTGGGAGGTCTAAAGATAGATTGGATGTTGTGTCTCTTCAGAATCTTGCCGATGCGATTAGTTGTTCCTTTTATTTATGAGAGGATTTTTCTGTCTGTCTCGTCATGTGATACTTGTGCGTCTGGCTTTCTTGTCTTGTTTATGTGTCTTTTGATTATTTTATTTATATCCTTTTTGTCGTGTCCATTCTGTTGTAGGATTAATTTCAAGTGGTTGAGTTCCGTCTGTAAATGTTCTTTATCAGAGACAGTGAGTGCTCTATGTACTAGTGAATTGATTGCTGACTGTTTTTGTATTGGATGATGGTGTGATTCCGCAGGAATCTATCTGTGTGTGTTGGTTTTCTATACCTGATGACCTAAGGTGTTGTCAGCTTTCTTAATCACTAGTACAGAGAAAAGAAAGTCTTCCATTTTCTTTTATTTCCATGGTGAAGCGGATATTGAAATGTTGAGGAAATTTAGAAATTTTCATAATTCTGCTCTATCATGTCTCCAGATTACAAAAAGTATCGTCTACATAACCGAACCAAACTTCAGATTTCTTGGGCGCTTTGCATAGGGCTTCCTTCTCGAAGTTCTCCTGAAGATGTTAGCGATTACAGAAGAAATGGGGGAGGGGACTCCCATCGCCGCCCCTGAAGTTTATTCATAGAATAGGATAAATATGGTTTTTCAAGCAGTGTTCAATAAAGGGAATAAGAGTGGAGGGCACTTTATATGAACTTAATTATGTTTAGCGTGTCATTGATTGGGACTTGTGTAAACAGGGATTCTACATCAAAACTCACTAGCATATCTCCAGGAAATAATCGGATTTTTTGGATTTTCTGTACAAAGTCCGTTAATGATATGTGTTTCCTGTGAGGGGTTGTAGTCTTTGGGTTAAGAAATGTGAGAGGTTGTATGTTGGTGAGTTTATGGCATTGACAATTGGTCTGAAAGGAGCATTAGGTTTGTGTACTTTAGTCCGTATAGTCTGGGTAGAAGAGAGTTAGTGGGTTTTATTGTCTTCTTAGTTTCGTCTGGAATATTGCTTTTTTCTATTAGGATCTTGGTACTTCGCATAATAGAGTTAGTTGGGTCTTTGTCTCGAATATGTCTTATGATATGTCTAGAGAGGAGAGTTTTTATTTTCCTCTTATAATCTGACATGTTTATAACTACCATCGTATCCCTTTGTCTGCTGGTAATACGATAATATCCGTGTTTTGTTCAGTTCTTGGAGGGCGCGAGTGGTTCTTGTCTAGTGATGTTTGATAGTGGAGACTTGGCTTTGGAAAGGATATTGGTTACCTGCTTCCGAATACTATCTGCCTGTCCTGATGGGAGTCGATAGATGGTTGACACTATTTGACTGATGATCTCCACTTTTGGGATCTTATTGAGTGCTATTGCGAAATTCGAGCCTTTGGCACAGAGATAATATCATGTGAGAGATTTCTGTTAGACAAGTTTTTGACAGTGTTTAGTAGAGGAGGTAAGGAGTTATTGTTTGGACTTAGGTCTTTGAATTTTTGTTTCTGTCGCTCCGTGGAGTGTGCGTGGATGTTTTGTTGTGCTTGTTCGTATGTAATGCGGTCTAAGATCTGCCAAATGTCCTGTCGTAGTGTGGATGAGTAAAATGTGGATGAGTAGGAGTGGAGTAAAAATTATAATATTTACTTTTTTGAAAATAGTTACATTGTTGAGTGAATTATAACAGTTACATTGTTGAGTGGGAAATTACAACTAATATTTATATTACATGTAACTTAATGTTTGCTGAATATGTTTCCGAATAGCTTCATCTTAACATTGTTGTAATATTATAATGATACAAAATATTAGAATATTAACTGACTGCCAATACTTTTATAGGTTACACTGTAAGTTACATCATCAAAATTGATTATATCATTTATTTTAATTAATAAATATGTAATAGCTTCTCGATAAATGTTATAGTCAATAATGTAAACGGCTATATAAATTTCAAAAAAATGTCTTATAAAAGATAACTTTTCAGACGTCTTTTCATTAAGTTTTAGGATATCTTTTGGATGTCTTTTGATGGAGAATTAAAGATGTTTCTTTTAAGATATCTTTACAATATACATTTGGGTTATTTGGGTAGTTAATAAAATATATTTTTCACAAAATTATAATGCATTATTAAGCGTTTTATCCTACAATGTTTAACGTACATAATAATATAAGCAGCACAGATATAAATACGTAAAGTATGAACAATACAGTATTTATTTCGCAATATTTATTTATTTTAGGATAAAATTCTGACAACAATATAAATAATTCTGTTTACAACTAATCTTACGGAATAAAAAATAAGCACATTTTTCAAATAGATTTTAAGAACTATTTTTTAAATGTAATAAAGTATATATTATACATAGTAATATTCTATGTAATAATTTTATTAATGCACACAAAATAATGCAAATTCGACTTGTAAAATAAGATATCTATTATTATATAAAAAATTATATGTAGTAATATAATATCATATGTTTATATATGTTTATATATGTTTATATACATATATATATATTATTATATATTACTATATATATATATATATTACTTGTCAATATATTGTTATATTACTGGTCATATTATTACATCATATCATTAATTTAATTTTATTCATTTTTTCTTCTTGTTTTTTAAGTTATTTACAAAATATTGATATTGCAATATATTGATTGTAACATATGCTCTGAAACCCGTACTTTTATCATTGCAAATATAGGAAACAGACCTATATATTTTCCAACAAAATTATAACGACAATATATTCATCAATCATAAATATAATCTTATCTCAAAACATTTTATAATAGTGACATGTGTCCTGTATTTTTCATATTTTACATGTATAATGCTTATACAAAGTTGTATAATGCTTATACAAAGTTGTATAATGCTTATACAAAGCTTGCATAGAGATTATATATAGTATTTATTTAGTATTTGCATAGTCTCCGCAGTCTTGCGCATTCTTATTTATTTTGTATCGTACTTTGATAATAATAATAATATATTAACATTCTGTAATCTATATACATATATATATTTTTTATACACATATATGTATATAAATATATAAATATATTAATATATAAATATAAATATACATGTATATATATGTTTTTAAAACTTCACATATGTTTTTAAAACTTTATATTATAGCTGTTGATTATAAAACTGAACGACAATCATCTTTCTTAAGCAAAAAATTATTAGTAACAGAGCAGCGATTTATTAATTATTTATTATTCTGTATGAATAGAAAAAAACTTAATTTAGCACAATCATATTTTTCTTCTGATTTTCTTATCTTAGCATGTTTTGGTATACCGAAAAATCTTTGCCATCTATTTTTTTCACGAACGCTGAATTCCTTATTCACAATGAATGCATTCATGAATTTTTTGTTCTTTTGTGGTTTTCATTACATAACGGCCAAGTCACTTTTCCAAAAAGATTTATCGAATGCATTTTCGAATATAACAGAACCAACAGAGGAAACAGTTAAGCATTGCTCTCCCTTCCGTAAAATTTATCAGTACAGTAAGTATATATTTTTATGTTTAGAAACAAAAATTGATTTTTTGAGAGTGCAATCTATGAGTATTTTTACTAATCTTTTTTTTTGTCAAAAATAATTGATTCGATCTCTAATAAAATTTAAAGAGCATTATTTGTGTTATTGATAATAAATAAAGTGTCTTTATTTCTCGTAGCCACAAATGATAGAAAAAGATGATTATCCCGTGGAGGTTCATCATGTACAAACGGAAGATTATATTTTAGAACTTCATCGTATTTCAAGTAAAAACGTTTCTTCCTTATCTGTATTTTTGCAACATGGCCTTTCGAGTTTCCTCCGCCGATTGGGTCATAGCTGGCAAGGGAATTGCACTTGGTAGGATCAAGTGTTAATTAATCTTTAAAAATATCTCTTTATTATATACTGCCGATTGCAGTTTTATTTAAAAACTATTTAAAAAATTCCAAATCTTAAGAGAAAAATATACAAAAGAGAATTTCTTAAAGCAACATTCTAATGTATGTTTTATATACTTGAAACTTTTTTATGTATAATCTTAAAATATATTGTATATGTACATAATATACATGTAATTGATAAATCTTTTTCTAAAACTTAATCTTTATATTTTATGTTAAAAGTTATTTAAATGTACATGTATTTTGCATGATATTTGGATTTTTCTGTTGGATTTAACTCACCCGACAATAAAGATTAGCTTTTTAATAAAGCTTAGCTTTAGTTTCATTTAATCGATTTCTGTTTAGATATAATATAATTATTTCTGTTTAGATATAATAATACTTTAACATAAAAAAGAGCAATATATAAGTTACAAATATTTAAATAAATATATATTTATATCGATAATGCAACTAACGTTTTTCTTCATATTATGTTGGCTGATCAGGGATATGACGTTTGGATGGGTAATACCCGTGGAAATACGTATTCAAAAACGCACGTTTCTTTGTCGCCGTCAAATTCAAGATTTTGGAATTTCAGATACTTGTGCTCATATAAAGAGATAAATAGTATGTCCGATTTAATTTAATAAAATTATTATACGGCAATATTTTTATACTATATTAATGTGTATTATTGTAAATAATATTACATACATATACATACGTATTACGCAAATCGAATTTCATTAGTTGGCACGAAATGGGCATTTATGATCTACCCGCAATGATTACGTATGTCACGAATGTGACATCGCAACAATTGCACGCATATATTTATCATTCAATGGGCACAACTGTTTCTTATGTGATGACATCGGAACGGCCCGGAAATGACCGAAAAAGTAAAATTGTTTATTAGTTTGGCACCGGTAGCTTTTATGAAACATGTGAAAGGTCTAGTTCGATTTTTAGCTTCTATTGTAGAAAAACTAGAGGTGAAATTATATATAGAAATATTATTAAGAAATAATTTGTTGTAGCGAAATAATAATTTAAGAAATTCTTCGAACTTTATTTTTCTTTTGTAAAGATACCGAGGTTTCGGTATCTTTTTGTTTATTATAAACAATTGAAGCGGAAAAAATGAAAAATTAAAAATTAAAAATTAAGAATCAAAGGACAAATAATAAAGAAAAAGCATTATTTTTCAATTAATTTCAGAAATATTTTAACTAAATTGTAATTCAAGATTGACAAACACATTTAAAAGATTTAAAGGACTTTTTTAAAACATAAATTACATATAGAAATTCTGATTTGTGACAATTTTAATTTTAGTACTTGAAATATCGAAAGTTTAAAGATATTAAAAAAATTTAGATTCATTTTTAAGATATTTTTTAAATGTTAAAATTAAAATTGATTTACAGCTTCTAAACTATATGTAAACTATATGTAATTTAATAACTCTTAATGACAATATTGTTAATAGTTACAGAATAAGTCTATTATTACGATCGCGAGAAAAATTCAAACTTTTAGAACACATCGAGTTGCAATGTGTCGTAATGAATAGCTCGCAGGTATAATATTTGATTGAAAAATTGCGCAATGATAATATAACAATAACATATGACAACATTATCGTTAAGAGTTATACAAAAACTGTACATATTAAAGAATGTTTCAAATCTTTGAGGTGTATTTTCTACTCTTTCCTAAATGAAAACAGAAATGGATACAAACACAAATGAATAAAAGATTTTCAATTGTAGTTAATCTTACATTTTCTTGGTCAAAACGAGTTATTACCGCAGAATCCTCTGGTACAGTTTCTTACTGGGCTTTTCTGCGACGAAACATTCATTCAAAGAAAGCTTTGCTCTAATGTCGCGTTTCTGATATTTGGCTTCGAGCAATTCAATACTGTAAGTATTCTGCGAATGTTACAATGAAAATAATATTTTTGATGTTTCATTGTACATCCCATTATATAACCACAGTTTGGGTAAAATTTTATATTTGATGGTAGAGTTTGATACCCATAATTTTGGAGCACTATCCAGCCGACTCTTCGAATAAAACGTTGGTACATTATGCTCAAGAAGTTTCTGGTGGCAGGTTTAACAAATATGAATATGGTCGCGAGAAAAATCTAGAATATTATAGTAACACATCAGAACCGCCGAGTTACAAGCTCAAAAACATCTCGGCATCATTTGCATTATTCTATGCTAAAAATGATTGCCTACGGACGTCGAGGTAAATTAATGCATTTAAATAGATATATTGATGATAAAAATTTATTTAATTTAATTATGTATGTATTTTTACACACAAAATCAAAGAAGCGTAAGATTAGATGAAAATACATGAAATTTTTTAAATTATTTTTTAAAAATGTAGAGAATCTTATGAGCCTGTTATCTAATGTAGTGTACAAGGAATTAGTGCCATCCATAAATATAATATCCATAAATTTAATCATATGGACTATTTATATGGCAAAAACATAGTTGAACTTGTATACAATGAAATATTTCAAATTTTGAGGACATATTAAGAGCTAAGTAAAATTATATTAACGATGAAAATGAGAAACTGTAATTATTAATTTTAATAAAAGTATTATTCAGCATACATTTTCAAGCATTTAGAAACCGAGTTACAATAATGCCATCTCTATTAAACGAGATCTCAATCGTTATTGCGATACCATCAGATAAATATTATCATACTCAGTAGTTGAATTGATAAAGCACAGACGAGTGATTTTAGGAAATCCTAATTGAGGTAATATCTTTTACAATAAGAAAAAGGAAAAAGGAAGAAAGGTAATTATATTTAATTATGTCTTGTAGGAAAAAGGAAGAAAGGTAATTATATTTAATTATCGATATCACGTTTGATTTAGTATTATCGATTTATTGAAAGAAAATGTAGCTATCTTTGAGGTGTTACGTTGCAAATTAAAATACGTAATTGATGATATGAGCTATTATCTTAAACTTTTGTATATATAAATTCGAAGAAAAAATTATTTGACGTCTAAGATACTTCCTGCCTAAATAATGTATATATTTTTGTCATATATTTTTTGTATACTAATATTAATCATAAAATATGCCATTCTAAAACCCGTGGGTTTTTTTATCACTCTAAATATGGAAAATAGAAATAGAAAATAGAAATAGGATTACATATACTTTTACATAACACAATTATATAAGAAGAATACTCATTAATCATTGATAAAGCTAGCTTAAAACATCATACAGATGTAATGACAAATTATTCTGTGCTTTTTGTATATTTTGCACACTTATATAGTGTTTGCAAAACCTTGCAAACGTGCATAGAATTTGCACTGTGTTTGTACTAACGCTATTGCGGACTAGTGTTTATCTTGTATCGTATACTTCTGGTAATGAATATATTAATACATTTTGTGATGTAGTTACACAGTAGTTACACAGTAGTTACATAGTAGTTACACAGTAGTTACATAGTAGTTACACAGTAGTCACACACACACACACACACACACACACACACACACACACAATTTTTCAGAATCTTTTATTGCCATGACTATTGCCATACTATTGACTATAACGGTTTTTATTTTTCTTAGGCAAAAAGATAATTGACAGAGGAACGTTTTACTGTATTATATAAAAGAAAGAGGAACTCAACTTCACACAATAATTTATTCTTCTCGTGTTGTTTTCTTACGACATTTATAAACATCGAAAAATTCGTATCATCTCATTTTTTTCACAAACGCTGAACTCTTCGTCCACAATGCAGTCGATCACCTTCACATATCTTTTGTTCCTTTGCTGCTTCCTTGACTTCATAACAGCCGAGTCAATTCTGCAAGAAATTTTGTTGGATACACTCACGAATACAACGGACAAAGAACAGTTGAATGGCTTTGAATTCCCTCCCGTGAAATTCCTCAGTACGGTAAGTTTATATCTTCATATTTAGAAACGAAGATTAAGATATTTATTATTTCAGTCAACTCTCCAAAATGCTATATCCGTTATTAAGAAAAAATATCTAGTGAACAGAATATCTAAAATCGACGCATAAGATAACTTCAAGATATCTTTTAGAATTCTTTATGAGATTTCTTCAAGATGACTTAGTGTCGGTCCACAATAAGTATTTAATCTTTAAGTCGTAAGAAATTGACCAATCATAATCGATTATTCTTTTCATATTCGATTATAATTGGTCAATTTCTTACTTCTTAAAGCATAAATCACCTATTGTGGACCGACACTTATGCATCGATTTTAGACATTCTACTTATTGGGTATATACACGATATATTATTGCGTAATTTTATTTGAAATTAAAATCTGAATTCAATAAAATTTCCCCACGGTATAAATATGAACAGTTTTAATCCTTCTTAACGATATCTATATCTTTTTTTTTATATTCTGGAATCAATTCAAATATTATCAGCTATGTTTAAAAATTATTACATATATTCTCTTTATTTTTAAATATGTGATATTTGAAATATATTATTTGTTTTAATATGTGTGTTATTTTCTTTTATAATATTTAAAACATTTATAATTTTAAAATCATTAAAATGATTTTATTGCAAGCTTTTAAAGAATAAATATAAATAATTTTTAGTTCTTTAATTTTTTTGGTTTTTAAAATTATTTTTATTTTGCGTTCTGCGATCTTTAGATATAATCCTAACCACTTGTTTAACGCCGAAAAAATTATTTTGCTAAAAGATCAAAAAATTTTGTCAGATACGGATCTGAAAAATAATATTGTTGAACTATCAAAATAATTCACATAATATAAAATCAAAATAGAAAGTTCAATCAAATTAGAAAATTCAAATAAATTGCCAAAATATAAAAAAATTGTACACAACATTATTATTATTATTATTCGTAAATGTATCACATATAATTCGATGGTGCAATAAAACTGTTTTCCAGATTTGGCCAAAATTTTCAGATCTTTTAATAAAGCTGTTCTTTCTGTTTATGTATAATCTATGTTAATTCAATGTGTTTAAATTTAAATCTTTCTTTATATGAATTAAATAATTTGAGACATAATATACAAAAAAATTCATTCTTCTTCTATTTTGGAAAGAAACATATTTTATTTTGGAAATTTGTTTCAATTTTTTATCACTTTTGAGAAAATAATCTATCTGTATCTTTGTTAATCTCCCGTTCGATCGTAGAATTAATTTAATTTTCAATAGATTTTTAAGAGCTTTATTCGTGTTATTGATAATAAATAAGGTATCTTTATTTCTCGTAGCCACAAATGATAGAAAAAGACGGTTATCCCGTGGAGGTTCATCATGTACAAACGGAAGATGGTTATATTTTAGAACTTCATCGTATTCCAAGTAAAAACGTTTCTTCCTTACCTGTATTTCTGCAACATGGCATTTTGAGCTCCTCTGCCGATTGGGTCATAGCTGGCAAGGGAATTGCACTTGGTAGGACTAACTGTTAATTAATCTTTAAAAATATCTCTTTATTATATACTGCCGATTGCAGTTTTATTTAAAAACTATTTAAAAAATTCCAAATCTTAAGAGAAAAATATACAAACGAGAATTTCTTAAAACAACATTCTAACGTATGTTTTATATATTTAAAACTTTTTTATATATAATCTTAAAATATATTGTATATGTACATAATATACATATAATTGATAAATCTTTTTCTAAAACTTAATCTTTATATTTTATGCTAAAAATTATTTAAATGTACATGTATTTTGCATGATATTTGGATTTTTCTGTTGGATTTAACTCACCCGACAATAAAGATTAGCTTTTTAATAAAGCTTAGCTTTAATTTCATCTAATCGATATTTCTATCTAGATATAATAATAATTTAACATGAGAAGGAGCAGTATATAAGTTACAAATATTTAAATAAATATATATTTATATCGATAATGCAACTAACGTTTTTCTTCATATTAGCCTATTTGTTGGCTGATCAGGGATATGACGTTTGGATGGGTAATATCCGTGGAAATACGTATTCAAAAGCACACGTTTCTTTGTCGCCGTCAAATTCAAGATTTTGGAATTTCAGGTACTTGTGCTTATATAAAGAGATAAATAGTATGTCTGATTTAATTTAATAAAATTATTATACGGCAGTATCTTTATACTATATTAATGTGTATTATTGTAAATAATATCACATACATATACAACATATTACGCAAATCGAATTTCGTTAGTTGGCACGAAATGGGCATTTATGATCTACCCGCGATGATTACGTATGTCAGGAATACGACATCGCAACAATTACACGCATATATTGGTCATTCAATGGGCACAACTGTTTCTTATGTGATGACATCGGAACGTCCGGAAATCGCCGAAAGAGTAAAATTGTTTATTAGTTTGGCACCGGTAGCTTTTATGAAACATGTGAAAGGTCCACTTCGATTGTCTGCTCCTTTCGCAGGAAATCTTAAGGTAAAATTATTTATATGGAAATAATATGCTATATTTAAACAAGGATTTGAGAAATTCTTCGAACTTTATTTTTATTTAGCAGAAATATTTTGATACTTATTTTATAAACAATTGAAGCGTTAAAAATTAAATAACAAACAGTAAAGAAAAACAATGTTTTTTAACTAATTTTAGATCAAATTTTTTTAGCAGAATTGTAATTCAAGATTCTAGAATACACTTAAAACATTTGAAGCACTTTTTAAGACTTAAAGAATACACTACACTCTAGAATACACTTAAAACATTTGAAGCACTTTTTAGTTTATTAGACGTAGAAGTTCCGACTTGTGATCTTTTATTTTAGTTTTAACAATTAAAGAAATATTTTGACATATCAATAATTTAAAGATACGATATTAAAAATTTATATTTATGTTTAAGATATTTCTTCAAGTTTTAAAGTTAAAATCAATACGATTCGCAGTTTTTAAGTTGTGAATAAATTATGTATAAGCTGATTTTGTATATAATTCTTAATGACAATGTAGTTAATAATTATAAAATAAGTTTATTATTACAGTCAGAGAAAAATTCAAATTCTTACGTATCGAGTTGTGACCTCACAAAAATAATATATGATATAACATATGATAGAGACACTGCGTAATAACAATGTAACGATAATATATAATGATACTGAACATTATTAAGAATTATACAGAAATTATACATTGAACATACATTATACATTGTACATTAAAAAGTTTTTCAAATCTTTGAGATGTCTCGTCTAATACTCTTTAAAACTTAAACGATTGAATTACAAAACAGAATAAAAAATTCTCAAATGTAGTTACTCTTACATCTTCTTGGTCAAGACGAGTTATTGCCACAAAATTCTCTGATACAATTTCTCGCTGGACTTTTCTGCGACGAGACATCCATTCAAAAAAGACTTTGCTCCAACATCGCTTTTCTAGTAACTGGTATCGACAATGAGCAATTCAATACTGTAAGTATTTTACAAGTTGCAATGAAAATACTTTAAATGGCGTTTCGATTCTCCTCGTTTCACCTCGTACAATCACACTTTCAGATAAAATTTTATATCTGTTTCTTAGAGTTTAATACCTACAATTTTGGAGCATTATCCAGCCGGTGCTTCGACCAAGACAGCGATACATTATATCCAAGAAATTAATCCTGGCAGATTTTGCAAATATGATTACGGTCGTAGGGAGAATTTAAAATATTACAATACACCGAAACCGCCGAGCTACAAGCTCGAAAACATCAAGGCACCATTTGCGTTATTTTATGCTGAAAATGATTGGCTCTCAGGCGTCGAGGTAAATTAATGCGTTTAAATAGATATGTAAGATATATATTGTTGATTAAAAATTGATTTAATTTGACTATGTATGCAAGTACTTATATACGACTTGTATACACGGAATTAAAGAAGAACGTAAGATTAAACGAAAATACATAAAATTATTTTAATTATTGTTTTTTTTTTTAAGGACGTGAAGAAGCTTATGGGTCTGTTACCCAATGTAGTGTACAAGAAATTAGTGCCGTATCCTAAATTTAATCATATGGACTATTTATATGGCAAAAACATGGTTGAACTTGTATACAATGAAATATTTCAAATCTTAAGGAAATATTGAGACCTAAATAAAGTTATATTAACGATGAAAATGAAAAACTGTAATTATTAATTTTAATAAAAGTATTATTTAGCATACATTTTTAAGCATTGGTTTGAAATCGTGTTGAAACCGTATGATAATGCCATCTCTATTAAGCGAGATCAATCATTATTGCGATATCAAATAAATATTACCATACGCCTCAGTAATTGAATTGGTAAAGCACAGTCGAGTGATTTTAGAAAAGCCTAATTGAGGTAATATCTTTTACAATAAGAATGTCTTGTAAAAAAAAGGAAGGAAGGTAATTATATTTAATTATCGATATTACGTTTGATTATTAGTATTATAATTATCGATTTATTAAAAGAAAATTTAACTATCTTTGAGTTGTTATGTTGCAAGTTAAAATACGTAATTGGTGATATGAGCTATTATCTTAAATTTTTGTATATATAAATTCGAAGAAGAAATTATTTGACGTCTAAGGTACTTCCTGCCTAAATAATGTATATATTTTTGTCATATATTTTTTGTATAGTAATATTAATCATAAAATATGCCACTCTAAAACCCGTGGGTTCTTTTATCACTCCAAATAAAAATAGAAAATAGAAATAGAATTACATATACTTTTAACACAATTATATAAGAAGAATACTCATTAATCATTGATAAAGCTAGCTGAAAACATCATACAGATGTAATGACAAATCGTTCTGTGCTTTTTGTATATTTTGCACATTTATAATGTTTGCGAAACCATGCATAGGATTTCCACTGTGTTTGCAGTAGTTGTAATGCTAATGCTATTGCGGACTATTGTTTATCTTGTATTATATACTTCTGATAATGAATATATTAATACATTTTTTTATATACACAGTTACACACACACACACGCACACACACAATTTTTCAGAATCTTTTATTGCCATGTTTATATGACTATTGCCATACTATTGACTATAACATTTTTTATCTTTCTTAGGCAAAAAGTTAATTGACAGAGGAATGTTTTACTGTATTATATAAAAGAAAGAAGAACTCAATTTCGCGCAGTCATTTATTCTTCTCGTGTTGTTATCTTACGACGATTATAAACATCGAAAAATTCATATCATCTCATTTTTTTCACAAAACTCATAAACAAAACTCTTCGTCCACAATGCAGTCGTTCACCTTCACGTATCTTTTGTTCCTTTGCGGCTTCCTTGATTTCATAACAGGCGAGTCACTTCTGCAAGAAATTTTGTTGGATACACTCACGAATATAATAAAAACGGACAAAGAGTTGAATGGCTTTGAATTCCCTTCCATGAAATTCCTCAGTACGGTAAGTTTATATCTTCATATTTAGAAACGATGATCGAGATATTTATTGTTTCAGTCAACTCTCCAAAATGTTATATCTGATAAGAATAAATACCCAGCGAACAGAATATCTAAGATCGACATATAAAATACCTTTCAAAGTTTTTTATGAGATTTCTTAAAGAATTCTTAAAGATATCTTCAAGTTGTCTTATGCATCGATTTTAGACATTCTGCTTATTGGGTATATACACGATATATTATTGCATAATTTTATTTGAAATCAAAATCTGAATTTAATAAAATTTCCCCACGGTATAATATGAACAGTTTTAATTCTCTTACTTAACGATATCTATATTTTTTTTTATATTCTGGAATCAATTCAAATATTATCAGCTATGTTTAAAAATTATTAGATATATTCTTTTTGTTTTTAAATATGTGATATTTGAAATATATTACTTGTTTTAATATGTGTATTATTTTCTTTTATAATATTTAAAACAGTCATCTATAATTTTAAAATCATTAAAACAAATTTTATTGTAAGCTTTTAAAGAATAAATATAAATAATTTTTAGTTCTTTAATTTTTAACTTTTAAAATTATCATTATTTTGCGTTCCGCGACCTTTAAATATAATCCTATCACAACCATCTGTTTAATGCCAAAAAAATTTTGCTAAAAGATCAAAAAATTTTGTTAGATACGAATTTGAAAAATAATATTGTTGAATCATCAAAATAATTCACATAATAAAATCAAAATAGAAAGTTCAATCAAATTAGAAAGTTCATATAAATTGCCAAAACATAAAAAAATTGTATACAGCATTATTATTATTATTCGTAAATGTATCCCACATATAATTCGATGATGCAATAAAGCTATATTCCAGATTTGGCCAAAATTTTCAGATCTTTTAATAAAGCTGTTCTTTTGTGTATGTATAATCTATGTTAATTCAATGTGTTTAAATTTAAATCTTTCTTTATATGAATTAAATAATTTTAGACATTTAATATAGGAGAAAAAACTCATTCTTCTTCTATTTTGGAAAAGAAACATGTATTTTATTTTGGAAATTTGTTTCAATTTTTTATCACTTTTGAGAAAATAATCTACCCGTATTGCTAATCTCCCGTTCAGTCATAGAATTAATTTAATTTTCAATAGATTTTTTAAGAGCGTTATTCGTGTTATTGATAATAAATAAAGTATCTTTATTTCTCGTAGCCACAAGTGATTGAAAAAGACGGTTATCCCGTGGAAATTCATCATGTACAAACGGAAGATGGTTACATTTTAGAACTTCATCGTATTCCAAGTAAAAACATTTCTTCCTTACCTGTATTTCTGCAACATGGCATTTTAAGCTCCTCTGCCGATTGGGTCATAGCTGGCAAGGGAATTGCACTTGGTAGGACCAAGTGTTAATTAATCTTTAAAAATATCTCTGTTTATTATATACTGCCGATTGCAGTTTTATTTAAAAACTATTTAAAAATTTCCAAATCTTAAGAGAAAAATATACAAACGAGAATTTCTTAAAACAACATTCTAACGTATGTTTTATATATTTGAAACTTTTTTATGTATAATCTTAAAATATATTGTATATGTACATAATATACATGTAATTGATAAATCTTTTTCTAAAACTTAATCTTTATATTTTATGCTAAAAATTATTTAAATGTACATGTATTTTGCATGATATTTGGATTTTTCTGTTTAACTCACCCGGCAATAAAGATTAGCTTTTTAATAAAGCTTAGCTTTAATTTCATCTAATCGATATTTCTATCTAGATATAATAATAATTTAACATGAGAAGGAGCAGTATATAAGTTACAAATATTTAAATAAATATATATTTATATCGATAATGCAACTAACGTTTTTCTTCATATTAGCCTATTTGTTGGCTGATCAGGGATATGACGTTTGGATGGGTAATATCCGTGGAAATACGTATTCAAAAGCACACGTTTCTTTGTCGCCGTCAAATTCAAGATTTTGGAATTTCAGGTACTTGTGTTTATATAAAGAGATAAATAGTATGTCTGATTTAATTTAATAAAATTATTATACGGCAGTATCTTTATACTATATTAATGTGTATTATTGTAAATAATATCACATACATATACAACATACATATTACGCAAATCGAATTTCGTTAGTTGGCACGAAATGGGCATTTATGATCTACCCGCGATGATTACGTATGTCAGGAATACGACATCGCAACAATTACACGCATATATTGGTCATTCAATGGGCACAACTGTTTCTTATGTGATGACATCGGAACGTCCGGAAATCGCCGAAAGAGTAAAATTGTTTATTAGTTTGGCACCGGTAGCTTTTATGAAACATGTGAAAGGTCCACTTCGATTGTTTGCTCCTTTCGCCGGAAATCTTAAGGTAAAATTATTTATATGGAAATAATATGTTATATTTAAACAAGGATTTGAGAAATTCTTCGAACTTTATTTTTATTTAGCAGAAATATTTTGATACTTATTTTATAAACAATTGAAGCGTTAAAAATTTAATAACAAACAGTAAAGAAAAATTATGTTTTTTAACTAATTTTAGATCAAATTTTCATATCAATCAATTTTTTAGCAGAATTGTAATTCAAGATTCTAGAATACACTTAAAACATTTGAAACACTTTTTAAGACATAGTTTATTAGACGTAGAAATTCCGACTTGTGATCTTTTATTTTAGTTTGAACAATTGAAAAAATATCTTGACATATTAACAATTTAAAAATATACGGTATTAAAAATTTATATTTACGTTTTATTTCTTCAAGTTTTAAAATTAAGATCAATACGATTCGCAGCTTTTAAGCTATGAATAAATTATGTATAAGCTGATTTTGTATATAATTCTTAATGATAATGTCGTTAAAAGTTATAAAATAAGTTTATTATTACGGTCACGAGACAAATTCGAATTCTTACAACGTATCGAGCTGTGACTTTATAAATATAATATATGATATAATATATGATAGAGAAACTGCGTAATAACAATGTAACGATAACATATAAACGATACTGAATATTATTAAGAATTATACAGAAATTATACATGTTAAAAAGTTTTTCAAATCTTTGAGATGTCTCGTCTAATACTCTTTAAAACTTAAACGATCGAACTACAAAACAGAACTGAATAAAAAATTCTCAAATGTAGTTACTCTTACATCTTCTTGGCCAAGACGAGTTATTGCCACAAAACTCTCTGTTACAATTTCTTATTGGGCTTTTCTGCGACGAGACATCCATTCAGAGAAGACTCTGCTCCAACATCGCTTTTCTAGTAACTGGTATCGACAATGAGCAATTCAATATTGTAAGTATCTTACAAGTTACAATAAAAATACTTCTTCAAATGGCGTTTCGATTCTCCTCGTTTCACCTCGTACAATCACACTTTCAGATAAAATTTTATATCTGTTTCTTAGAGTTTAATACCTACAATTTTGGAGCATTATCCAGCCGGTACTTCGACCAAGACAGCGATACATTATATTCAAGAAATTAATCATGGCAGGTTTTGCAAATATGATTACGGTCGTAGGGAAAATTTAAAATATTACAATACACCGGAACCGCCGAGTTACGAACTCGAAAACATCAAGGCACCATTTGCGTTATTTTACGCTGAAAATGATTGGCTCTCAGGCGTCGAGGTAAATTAATGCGTTTAAATAGATATGTAAGATATATATTGTTGATTAAAATTGATTTACTTTGACTATATATGCAAGTACTTATATATATATATATATATATATACGGCTTGTATATATGGAATCAAGAGGATCATATATGGATTCAAAGAAGAACATAAAATTAAACGAGAATACATGAAACTGTTTTAATTATTGTTTTTTTTTAAGGACGTGAAAAAGCTTATGGGTCTGTTACCCAATATAGTGTACGAAGAGTTAGTGCCGTATTCTAAATTCAATCACTGGGATTACTTATTTGGGAAAAATATGGTTGAATTAGTATATAATAAGATATTGCAGATGCTTAAGAACTGAGTGAAGTTGTATTCCATATGAAAAATTATAAATAAAGTATTTAGCATTTACATTTTCAAGCATTTTAAAGCCGAATTTTGATAATGCTTTCTTTGTTAAACGCAATCATTATTATAATTAAGTATATATGATAACCAACTATATATCGCTATATCTCATGCTCGTATTGGTAAAAACACCTAGCACTAGGACAATCAGGAGATTTCAAATTCAAATCTTAGTTGGGATGACTTTTCGTAATAAGAATTTCCTGTAAGAAAACGGGGGTAATCATGTTTGAGAAATTCAAATATAAGGAAAATTGCATGTTGCAATTGCATTGCAAATATAAGGAAGATTGCATTCTGATTTACATTCAGAGATTTAGGTGAAATCATTTCATGCTTGTTATTTATCAAATGTTAAACTAATTTCAGATAAAATTGCTTTTAACAAAATTGTAATTTCAGATTCGAGAATACATTAAAAGACATTCCTTTCAATACGCAGTTTTCATTTTTTCATAGAATCTTCGACTTATATCAGTCTTAATTTATATTTGAAATAAAAATCGAACGCGTTTATATTGGTTTGAAAGGCTATTATTATCTTAAAGATCATTATTTACGTTGTAGAGGTAATAATAGTTTAAGATCGCCTAGTTTAATAATCACCTTGTAGATAATTCGATAATTTCATTTTCCTACAATTTCTTGAAAAAAAAAACGAAGGAATTTTATATTTATTTGACACAAGTGTTTATTGTAATATACACTCTAAGAACTCATGATTGTTCTGAATCATCCTTATATTTTTATATAAGTCACATTTGATAGTGTATGCTAGCTTCATAGACATAAAAAAATCAGGAGTAAAGTATTAATTAATAAAAAAATAACACTACAAATAACTACAAAAATACATATTCGTTTTTAATTTCCTGTTTTTTTTTCTTTGTGGATGTACTAACTTTAATTAGAAGCTAACACAGCTATTGGTTTTAGTGAATCGGTTGAAGCAAAAAAATCGGAAATAGAGCAATTAATTAGCAAAAACAAATCGCACTGCAAAGATATGCACAGCCATTGGCTTTAACGAATTTTGCTGGAACGAAAAAATCGAAAATACAGCAATTAATTAGTAAAGAAATAGCAATTAATTTTTATATGCATATCCATAAAAATATATAATTACATTTAATTATATATCACTACATATATATTTATACAATTATTACATTTTTTTTTAAATTTAAATCTTGTAATCATATTTAATTATATATATTTATATATTTTTATATAAATATATTTTATATATAATGCTTTATACATAATTATTATTATATTTAATTATACATAGAAAATTTTTTACTGTGTAGCTCTATCTTAAAAGATGTTATAAATTTTTGAAATGTCATTTCTAATATTCGTTAAAACTTGAACGATTAAATTATGTAAAGTGAATAAAATATCTTTACATAATTACAGTCAGTCTTACATCTTCTTGGCCAAGATATGTTAGCGCCGAGTTTTGGTGATACAATTTCTCATTAGACTTTTTTGCAATAAAACATTTATCCAGAGAAGACTCTGCTCTAATTTCATATTTTTGATTATTGGCTTTGATAATGAGCAATTTAATACTGTAAGTATTTTATGAGTATTGCAATGAAAATATATCTTTTATCAACATTTTGATCCTTATTATTTTGTATAAATTTTTAAATAATCAATTTCATATCTGTTTCCTACAGTTTGATACCAGTAATTTTTGAACATTTTTCAATCGAAATTTCAATCAAAACATTCGTACATTATACTCAAGAAATTAATTCTAATAGGTTTTGTAAGTATGATTACGATCATAAGAAAAATCTAAAGTACTACAATGCATCGGAGTCGCCAAACTACAATCTCGAAAACAACAAGACATAGTTTGCATTGTTCTACACTGAAAACGATTGGTTATCGGGCGTCAAAGTAAATCAACATATTTATATTGATATATAAGATAAATATAGATATATTGATGATAAAAATTAATTTGTTTAAATGTGTGCAAATTAGGCTTGCATATGTAATCAAAGAAGAAATATAAGATCGAGAATTCAAAACTGTTTTAATTACTTTTTTTTAAGAATATGAAGAATCGCATTCTAAATTTAATCATTGGGATTACTTATTTGGCAAAAAAAATGATTGAACTTGTGTACGATAAAATATTTCAGATCTTAAAGACGTATCGAGAGCTAAGTGAATAACGTTATATTAATGATGAAGAATATTCGTGATATCTTTAGGTAGATATAATTATATATTATTTTTCAAGAAATCGGGAATGGAAAATTAAATTTGAACATACAGGAGTTCATAATATAACTTTCTCCATTCCTAACTCTATATTTAGCTCCTTAGTTTTGTTTATTTCGTGTTTGGGGTCTAAAATATCGATGGGCATAATATCGATGGGATTACTGCGGAAACTAATCGCGCGCGTGAGGAAGCGATCGATAGCGGTTCGATTAATCGAGACGCCGGCCGGAAGGGAGCCATACCGGGACATACTTCACGACGTTTACGGTGGCGGTGCGTGCGGTCGCGGTTGCGAGAGGCGCACACTCTCTTATGCGACGAGAGAGGAACGCGATCGGCTGCGCTTCGATGCGCGATCTCTCGTTGACACACGTTGCGATCGCGTGACTCGAACTAACTTCCACTTCCCTGTCGATTCGCCGCTGCCAGGGTTCATCCGTAACGAGGTTCTCTCTCGGCGCGTACGCGCACGGAAGGAAAGGAAAGAAAGAAAGAAAGAAATCGACGAGGATGAGCGATAAAGGAGACGTCGCGTCGGCACCGCCGGTGACGCCGGAGGACGCGGCCAGGGCGGAATTATACAAGGAGGAGGCGAACGAGTATTTTAAGAGTACGTACGTACGTGCGAAGGTTGTGGGAGCCGCGGGAGATCGGCCGGTTGTACTCTAACGTTTCGCATAGTCACGTGTGCCCCAAGTTAACCCCCAACCCTTCTATGATCTCGTTGAGGATCGAATCGCGTGAATAGTATCACCGCGTCGGGTAAACGTAAAAGAAAGCATTGAAGGTGACGTTTTCCCAATAGCATTCGAGACATTCTATAAAACATTAATTTTACTTCGATATTTTTCATTGTTCCTTTCGGCGGATACTTCCGGAAAGGAAATTCCTCTCGGTTCTCTCCCTCTCTCCCCCCTCCCTCTCCCATGCCGGAACCAAAGAAGCGAGAAAAGAATGGGATTCCTGTCTCTTTGTATGTCTCACTATTGCTGTCTTTTTCTTTTCAGATCAAGTATATGACAAAGCTATTGAACTATATACCAAAGCCATAGATTTAAATCCATCAGTAGCCGTGTACTATGGTAACAGGAGTATTGCCTACCTGAAAACAGAATGTTTTGGTTATGCATTGACGGATGCGTCCAGGGCCATCGAATTAGATAGGAATTATGTCAAGGGTTATTATCGCAGAGCCGCTGCTTATATGTCCCTCGGCAAATTTAAACTGGCTCTTACAGATTATATGACTGTTAGGAAAGCGAGGCCCAATGATAAGGATGCAAAAGACAGGTACTTGGAATGTTCTAAGATGGTTACAATATCAAGATTTAATAAGGCAATCTCTGTTGAGGACAAGAAAAATATTGCTGATATTATTAATTTGGAAGATATGGGTGAGTTTATTATATATTGAATTTTAGAATATAATTTACTGTAATATATTTTTATGGTAGATATAATTACTCAATTACTTAAATCTTGTTAACTTATACAATGTCTATGGTAATAATAAATTATAATTTACTTTTCTCTTCATTGTACTATATTTTTAATTCAATATAGTAAAATATTATCTTTGGATATTTATTTTTATATATTGAAACATGAAATGTTGCATAAAACAAAATGTGCATAAATAAAAATAATAGTTTTTTTTTTAAATGAAACTTGGTAACATTAATAATTCATCAGAAAAATAATATGTTTGAATTCATTCTTTTTCAGCTATTGAAGATGAGTATACAGGGCCTAAATTGGTTGATGGAAATGTTACCTTGGAATTCATGAAAGATTTATTAGAGTGGTATAGAAATCAAAATAAATTGCATCGTAAATATGCTTACAAAATTCTGTTGGATGTTAAATCATGGTTTATGGCACAACCTAGTTTAGTAGATATTACAATACCAGAAGAAAAAAATTCACTATCTGCGGTGATATACACGGCCAATATTATGACCTACTTAATATATTTAAGTTGAACGGATTACCATCAGAGACTAATCCATATGTATCCTTTATAAAGACTAGATAGATGAAATGCAATTTCTATAATATTAACATTATATAAACGTTCATTAGATCCAAATTATTCATGGATATATTTCTTTTAACAGTTGCATATAGTTATTCAATGGAGATTTTGTAGATAGAGGTTCATTCTCAGTAGAATGCATATTTACTTTATTTGGTTTTAAATTATTATATCCAAATCACTTCTTTATGTCGAGAGGTATGTAATTGTTTCTTTTTCTTTTTCTTGACATTCTGAAATTCGAGTTTACAGTATTCACAATTTGTATATTTCTATTATGTTTAGGAAATCATGAATCTGCCACCATGAATCAAATGTATGGATTTGATGGTGAAGTAAAAGCCAAATATTCTGAACAAATGGCAGATTTGTTTACAGAAGTCTATAATTGGCTCCCTCTTGCACACTGTCTTAATCATAGAGTACTTGTAAGTATTATTTTTTTCATGTTCAATTTGCATGTAGATATTATATAAATGTTATGAATGAATTTATTACTTTTATTTCCAATTAATTTTTTTATAAATTGAGAAATATATAGAATGAGAATCAGATCAGGCTCAAACTCGGATCTATCAATTATGAGTTGTCCGTTTTCATAAAGAGTAATATATCATTTCGTGTTATTTGTATATAATTTTCGTATTGATTTTGTATATCGGTTATCAGGTGATGCACGGAGGATTGTTTTCGCGGGATGATGTGACGCTACAAGAAATCAGAGAAATTGACAGAAACCGACAACCACCCGATGAGGGATTGATGTGTGAACTGTTATGGTCGGATCCACAACCGCAAATGGGCCGAGCACCTAGCAAGAGAGGGGTGGGCGTTCAATTTGGACCTGACGTCACGCAGAATTTCCTTAGGATAAATTCTCTCGACTATATTGTGAGAAGTCACGAAGTCAAGAACGAGGGATACGAAGTAGGACATGATGGGAAGTGTATCACAGTATTCTCCGCTCCAAATTACTGGTACATTAAATACAATATTAATGCACTATACTAATTCATTATATTTACATTACAATATGACTTTTATAATATAATATTTTATTGAATCTCAGCGATACCATGGGTAACCGAGGTGCCTTTATCACACTTAATGGCAGTGATATGAAACCTTATTTCACGTCGTATGAAGCAATGGTATGTACTTTATTTGCAGATTATACTTGTAATTTAAATGAATTGTTTGTTTTTGTCATATTTCATTTGCTATATACAAACATACACCTATTTTGATGTTACAGCCTCATCCAAATGTAAGACCGATGGCTTATGCCAATTCCTTACTAAAATTCATGTGCTAGTGGAACATCTTCTAGGTATTATTGCAAAGTGAATAATAACTAAAATATAAGTAGTCCAATCAAAGTGTGCATAATATATTTGATACTGAAATAGAGAAGATAAGAGACTTAGGTCCCCTGCAACAATAATTATTATATTCTTTCTAGGAGATTGCGACGATTCCCTGTATTATAAAGTACATGAGAATGTATAATATTGATGGGTACAAAAGAGTGAGAAAAGTTTGCTTATTTTTACGACAGGCAAACAAATCTATCAAATTTTTCTTATCTATGATAAGAAAATACAGCTCATCACACAAACACTAGTGATTTGTGTTCGTTTGTAATAAAATGGCGCGAAGAGAACGTTTCTATTTTGTACCCTCAATCTACACGACCATCTTGCTCGTTAAAGATACCTACTTGTGCGTGGACATAAAAAAAAGTAAAAGCATTTTCATCTCGGAGATAGTTCTATGAGGTTTTAACTTTATAATCTATTATTTATACGAAACGCTGAATCTTATACTTTAAATTGATTCTTTAGCGATCAACTGGTGGAATGTCAATAAAATATAGTAATTATTATGAGAGAATACATAAATGCATATGCAAAAACTAGCATAATTATGTAGAACAATTTCCAGCCGATCACTATTGTCACGTTATTTGTGACAATTTTTTTACAAATCTATTGTGATTGGAGGGATTTCTTTGATCTAACATTTTGTTTTTTGTTAATAATAAATGATGTTTATGATGTACATATATAAATTGATTTTATTTTAAGCGGATAATGAGATAATAATACATAATGAATGCGTTAAGCGTTATAAAGTTACGAAAAATAATGAGTAATCTTCTCTGGTAAATTGTTTCGATTTCCATGAGTTACGTTCAGTATTTTAATTCTCTCGTCTGCGTGTAATTTCTTAAACAATACCGCGTGTTGTTGCGGTACTTTGTGTATTTGTGGGATAGTTCCAATCACGAAAGCTTTCTTGGAAGAACCGAAAAATATATCCGTTACTTTCTTCTTGAAGTTTTCGCTAAATAATTCCATTTTGCCGATTTCATCGACAAGCAATATATCCTGCAATGACGACATTATTAATATTATTGAGTCATGACAACGATTAAAAATTCATTTTGAGATAAATCATTATTCTTACGGTGTCTAAATCCAATATTGGGAGTGCTATAACTTCGAAATTATCCAGGAAAACGCGATAGTTCCCTACTTGATACTTGAAAGCCTTTTGAGCCTCTGTTAAATTTCTATCCGTAAAAAGAGATTAAATATAAAACAATATGCGTTTAGTTACATGTCGTTATGTTACTATTGCTATTATCGTGATGTAATGTTATTAAGCAAAAACGCACTTTAACCGTGCCAAGGATAATCTTTTTTCGGGATCTTTTACTCCCACGATGTCAAAGCCGATCCTAGAGCCGCTTCGATCTCGTACTTCTTCCGTGTAAAATCCATCGAATCTGCTACCTCTTTTTTCTAATATTGACGCAATCTTTTTGCACACCGTAGTTTTACCTATGCCTATAACATTTTTTCTCTACTAGCAATTAGGTTTTCAATATTAATACAAAAGAAACAGTTTTTGTCTCTCTCTCTTGGAAAGTTGTTATATATGTTGTCTCACTATGTGTTTGTATTTATTATTAGAAATCACGAGATAATAACAGAGAATACTTAATAATCTATGTAAAAAGATGTTATTTTATTCTAATTTCTGCACGAAAAAAGAAAATGTGTATCAATTTACAAACTTTATATTATTTTCCAAATAGGAAATCTCGCCAAATATTCGAGTGATATTTAAAATATCTGAGTATTGACTCGAGTATTGACAACAAAGACGACACGTTGGATTTTAGTTAATAACATAATATACATTAATCATATACCTAAAAAAATTTAGAAAATAATTATAAAACATAAAGAATTAATTTCTAGAATTTTATGTAAAGTGCATGAAGACAATTTTTCTTGAAATAGGAACATATCCTGTGCATGTGCGTACGCAATATGCGTGTATGTAGTCGATTGTGTGCAGTAGGGCGTGTGCAGATACACATAGGAGATATAAAAATGAGTCAACTTTTAATTAATATTTTCATTATGAGATCAGCGCTTTGCATTTCATTCGAATCCCTCCCCCCTCTTCTAACCTGGTGGACCCGTGAGTAGTACGTGCAAAGGCCGTGACGCGCCGCCAGCTTCCATGATTCTCGTCACTGTTTACTTCCGAATCTCTCGTAGGGAAACGAATGTGACAGATAATTTCCACTGTCGCGGGCGAACGTCGTCGATAGTCTCTTGGTGCGTTTCGACGATCATGAATTTAGGCGGCGTTTGTGACGCGAGGATGCGGCTGCACGCGGCGTTCAGGTTGCGGCGTTTTTGCGACGCTATTACAACTGGTGACGGTAGCAGCAGTAACAGCAACAACAACAACAGTAGCGGCAGCAGCGCCGGACAAGCGTTGGAACGGTAGATGCGACCCCGCGGGGGAGGGAGGATCGAGTAGCGATCAGCTGATCGGGCTGGACGAACAGCGACGGGAGGAGACAGACGGTTGGCCGTTCGGAATACGGATTGGCGCGGCGGTGATAGTGGTGGCGGCGATCGTGACGGTGTAGTAGTGAAACTTCCGGTAAAGGTTGAAACGTTCGGCCGAGCGTGTGTGTATATACACCGAACCGTGCGTCGTGGCGTTCGGAACGGATCCACGATCCCCCGCGACCCGTCGCCCCGTATCATACGGAACCTTTTCGCTCTCGCGCAACTGTCTCATGTGGGATTTCGGGACAACGTGGATCGTAGACGAGTAGACGATTCGCTGGCGACGTGGGTCTCCGCCGTAGCTTAAGACCGGTATAGACCCATCGGCGTGAGGTAAACAGCGAGGGAGGAGACGAAGAAGGCGGAGGTGGTGAAAGAGGCGGAGGAGGAAAAGGAAGAGGAGAGGAGGAAAGCGACGACAAAGAGGTGGAGAAGGAGGAGGCGGAGGAAGCGCGGCGATCGCGACGTGATCTCGATCTTGCTCGATCTGCGCCGATCCGGTGTTGCGCGAAGGGGAGAGCTCGGCTCTTTCGCTGGTCGCTCTAGGCGACGCTCGTGCTCGTCCACCCACGCGCATCGGGCACGGGGAGAATAGTAAAACGCGTGGGGTTCACCCGCGAGTGGAGGAGATCGAAGCGACGACGGGAGGAGAGTCTGCGGTGACGGCGTCGACGACGACGACGACGACGACCACCGTCACCACTACCATCACCATCACCACTACCATCACCACCACCACCACCATCACCACCACCACCACCACCACGACGAGGATGCCGACAACGGCGACGACGGCGTCGTCATCGCGCAGCGACCAGTGCCGAAAGGAGGATCATCCACCGCCAGCCTCCGACGAGGAGGCGGACGGCCGCGTTCGATTCCGCGCCGGCAGCCTCCGGCGACGTCGTCGACGGCTGCGGCAGACGTGTGGGGATGGCGTCGACGCCGCGGTCGCCCATCCGTCCGAGTGCAGCGCGCTGTCGTATGTGCTTGCGCGACAGATCGACGACAAAGTCGACTATTGCCGTACTCTGGTTAATGCCAGATTCGAGAACTCCGAGAACCTCTACAGGAAGGATCTGCTGTCTCACTACGGATGTGTTAACGCGATCGAGTTTTCCAATCAGGGGGATCTGCTCGTTTCCGGTGAGTTCCAACGGCACGATTTTCGCCGCACACTCGGAAAGAGACGAGGACTGCCATAACTCACGTTTTCGTCCACTTCGATCGTCACGTAATTCGCATCAGGACTTGGAACGACACCGTCTTGGTGGTTAATTCAATGTCAAATACAAAAAACTTTTTTACTATTATTATTATTATTATTACATTTATTTGTGTTTAGAAGCTTACAAATGTTCCAACTAGATTTTGATCAACTCTGATTTTTCGATGAATTTTACAATATTTATTACATCTTTTTTGCTTTCTTTATTACACAGCCAGTGTCGAATGAATTTAATGATTTTAATCAAAATATCGATCCTCATATTGAAAAAAATTTTTGTTTTTTTTCCTTCAAAATAAGAGTATACATATATCCATAAAACAATACGACTATTTTTAAAATTTTTCTAGAATATATTTCTAGAAATATATTCTAGAAATATATATCTAATAATAGATTTAATCATGCGTACGAATTGCGTGTAATGTTCTATTTTTGCAGGCGGTGATGATAGAAGAGTTTTGTTATGGAGAGTGGAACAGGCGATACAGGGCATGGGCAAGCCCACCGTGATGAAATCGCAACATGTTAGCAATATATTTTGCCTTGGTTATGATAGCAGCAAGACTAAGATATTCTCCGCAGGAAACGATGATCAAGTCATAGTCCACGATTTGCGAACGTAAAGCACTTCTTCCTGATAATATGATACTTGTAATTTTAAGAGACTTGTAATTTTAAGAGACGTAATCTTTGATATTGCTTTGATATTGCAGGGGCGAATCTCTCAACATCTTCTTGCATGAAAAACCTGTCTATGGGCTGTCTATTCATCCGCACAATGACGATGTCTTTGCTAGCGCCTGTGACGATGGAAGAGTTCTCATTTACGATATACGTAGCAACAGCGCTATGGAAACTTTGGCACAATACAAAAGCGCCTTCCACTCTGTCATGTTTAATCCCGCCGACCCCAGAATGCTCGCTACTGCCAATGCTAAAGAAGGTGTTAGTATGTGGGACATACGGAAACCATTGGAGTAAGTGAATAAATATGCGGTCCGATAAAATCATTGTGTAACACACTTTTGTTGGAAACATAGTGATAATATAGCGATTTCAAATAGTTAATTGTCATACCTTTATCCACAGGCCTGTATTGTGTTATGGAAGCCCGCAACAAAGTTGCATGAATGTCAGATTTAATTCGATGGGCAATCGATTGCTGGCCTTACGAAGAAGACTACCACCAGTTCTTTACGCAGTCGAGTCTCCCACATATTTATGTGAATTCGATCACCCAGGATATTATAATAGTTGCACTATGAAATCGTGCTGTTTCGCCGGCGAGAACGACGAATATGTTCTTTCTGGTAAGTGATGTATATGATAACATAAATACATTCTAATTCAAAGAAATTTCAATATATTCTTGTAGGAAACGAAAAATTAATGAGTTTATTATTTGTGACAGTGATATATCATTTCTATCAATGCCATTTGATTTTAATTTCATAATTTAATTTATTTTTTATCATTCTTGGTTTTAAAAATTAAAAAAAGATAATAATTTAAACCAAGAATAAAATTAATCTATTAGTAGAAATATTAGTAGAAATATTAGTCTGTATGATTGCGAGCTTCTCTTTCAATTCTTGATTTTCTTATTTATACTTAATTAACTTCTTTTGACTTTTTATTTCGTACAATTTATCATTTTTTTACTTCTACAACTGGCTTATTTCAAAATCTTCACACGTGGCACACTATTCTGTGATATTTGATTCTAAATTTTTTGAATAATTTTAAAGTGCTCAACTTTTCACTCAACTATTTATAGTTGTTGAACTCTAATAGCATAAACATTTCTGAACATTTGAAATTCAAAACGAATTTGAAACTATAAATATACTTTAAAACATATACGATTTGCTATAAGATGTATGCTATATGCGAAGATTTAAAAGAAGATTCAAGCTGGCAATAAAAATAAAAGATGATACAATTAAAAAATAATTGCATCAAATATTTATTATTAGTTGATAAATAAAGCAGTGAAATTGAATTTAAGTTATTTATTCATCCTAAATATATTAAAAATTTTTGTGTACTAAAATGTCACTCTGTAAAGTTTAATTTTTTGTTCTGCATGTCCAAGAAAGACATTTCGAATGTTCAGATATTTTTATCATACAATCATGAATAGAAATCATAACCAGCAATAAATATATATATTTTATGTATTAAATTTGTAGGTTCAGATGATTTTAATTTGTACATGTGGAAAATTCCTCCCATGGAAGGCAAGGCTTGGGTAGAATCTGCTCATATGGTATTACGTGGTCATAGATCGATTGTTAATCAAGTTCGATACAATCAAGCAAGCTGCATCTTTGCATCGTCTGGCGTTGAGAAAATTATCAAGATCTGGAGCCCGTTCCCGCTTGGAACCGGATGTTTAGGAGGATTAAAGGTTGTTTGTTATTTATAATGTAATAATTCTTTACAAACTACGATTACAATTTGGCGTTGTTTGTCATGTTTATTTATTTTTGTTTTGTTTCAGAGAGACGCCGGTAAACGCGAAAGACAGCGTCGGGTATTTACACATGATGAATATATAGGACTGGTTTTACGTAGCGGACAGTTCATGACGCATGATTATAGTCACCAATCAACTAAGGAAGACCCGCGAATGATGGCCTTTTTTGATTCTCTCGTACAGCGTGAGATCGAAGGCTGGAGTTCCGAGGATGTGCCAACGCCACATACGCCTAGCGATTCTGAAATAAATCCGGCAACGGGCGAGCCATACAGCGCGACAGAAGGCGATGGTATAAAAGATAATTCCTTATTATTAGAAAACCACATAAGATTTATATATAAAGTGAAAAATATTAAGCTACGAAATATGATTATCGTTATAAAATCGGATAGCAAGAAAATTTTCTTAATTCTATTTTTCTTGCTTGAACAGTTTGGTAATTGTAGGCATATTTCATATTTTTACTTTACAATGCATAAATATTATAAAATTATTATTGCAAAAGATAATTTTTATACGTAGCTCTGCTTAATTTTTCACTCTAATTTCTGTATGATTTCAATTATTATTTTTTCCAGATTCAGTAGAATAATGTAATATATCGTTATTCTCTTCATCATAGATACCACAGCATCAGAAGGTGGTGTAGCTCCTGAAAGACCGTTAGAATCGCCAAATCGTATAACTCGGCTTATCGCAAATCGCAGAGAGAAACTCATGCGAATGGCCGCGATGGAGCGATCCGCCTCGGATTCCGCTAGTGAGGGAGACAACACTCACACGAGACGTAGATCCAAATCGAAATCGAAGTCGAAGAGTGTTAAAAGAAAACATACCAGACTTTCCGGCAGAAGAAGACTATCCGCTAGACGAAAGTGCACTGTGTTAAAAGTCAATAGTGATTCAGACAGTGACGACGAACGACCAGTTGACGCAGCTCAACCCAGTACTAGTTCCGGGGTGATCTTCCGAAGATCGCGATACGTCGCCAGCGCCATCGAGAAAGATGATAAGAGTTCGAGTTACAGCAGCAGCAGCAGTAGCTGTGTTTATGAAGACATTGTCGCTATCAGTAAACGAAAACATTCTAAAACTGATTCGGATACGTCCGTGAAGACGCACAAACGTAAGCATCGAAAGTGCAAAAACAGTTCTCGACACGATAGTTCTGGTAAGAGCCAAAGTAAACGACAGAAGCTCGATGACGACTCGGAGGAAGAGGAGAAAACTAGCTCGAGAAATTGTGTGAACGGTAACACTAGTAAGGATATTAGTAACTGTCGTGAAGATGGACCGTCGACGCCAAGCAGCAAATCACTTCAAGTTCCTTGTACACCTGACAGCGGTATCAAATCGGGTATCTCATCCACAGAGGGGAAGAATAGCGAACGAACACGTAAGGAGCGAAACAATAGAGGCGTGGACGATAGTTCAGATGAGCAAAAACTGAAACGTTTAGAGTGTTTCCGGAAAAAGGTAGAGGAGTTGGCGAGGAGGAGCTATCGTAATCGGTCTACGGCTCAGTCTCAAGCAATTTCGACCACGAGTGATTCTTCCGATTAAGCGCTCACGTTTTACTCATCGAAATCCCTGCCCTCCCCAACGTGCTCTACTCCGATCTCCCATTCCCTTTCCATTTGTACATAATGTAATCTGTGATTCCTTGAAGTATATTTTTATAACACTAAGTTGATCACGCGTGAGCGATGCGATTGATTTCTTTTTTAAAATCATCTTTTTTAGATCTTACCATCTGTCTTTGATCCCATCTTTCTAAATGTAATTGTGCTTTCCTTCTTGCAATTTTTAAAAATTTTCATTAAAATCCTAATATATTGTCAATTTTTTCGCGACGTTTTGTAACTCGAGTCATTGTTTAGATAGGCGGAAATTGTAATGTTGTTTGGTACCAACCCTATATCTATCGTCCCGCGTAATGCCATTGCGACTGTCTTTGCTTGATAATTCTCAGACAGTCAATCCATTATTGTGAGGTGGATGTTTTGCTGATCTGATCGTGTAAATCGCATATAATCGAGACAGAACTGCGGCGAAACGGAAACCGTACTGTAGACGCGAATTAACACATCCGCATTAACTTCAAATATTTGCGGCAACTCGGCTAATGTGTACCATTGACATGGTTTGTGCGTTGGAAAGTAATTAAAAGTAATAAATTGGTATACATTTTTTTCCTATGTGTTGAACTTTGAAGAATTATTGTAACTATTACATTATTTAATCTTGCATTTATATACATCTTTATTAACCGATTACGAATAAACGAAAAGAAAAAACAAAAATGTAACAAATCTTGCGTGAGAGATTTATTATTCTGCAATTATGGCTTGTCTCTATAATTGAGGAACAGGTTTCTTCCGTTTCCACTTCTTCGACTTGTATATATATATATAGATGAGTGTTGACTAATGTAAGTGATGTCATTGTGGTATTGAGCACCACATCCGCCGGCAAATAATTTTTCACTTTTCATACAGATACGAGTTTATTCAGACACGTGAAATCTTTAAAGACGTTAATCGAGATGTTTCGCGCACACGCGAGTTTACCGTATTTTTGTATACGAACTCTAATTTCCTTTCTAGTGATCGTGACACACAATTCGTTGGCATATAATATTAATTTACTCAATGCTAAGATATTCAAGGATCCTGTACACAGATCGAATGGACGTGGAAGTTACTTCGGATTCTCGGTAGCTTTATACGCGGGTGCAAAGGAATCTTTGTTACTTGTCGGAGCTCCGCGAGCAAACTCTAGCGAACTGCCATTCGTGACAGAACCGGGAACGGTCTTTAAGTGTACGATGAATGGTATGTGCAGAGAATGGGTAATTGATAGGACTGGGAACGGTCCACACCCTCGTAAGAAATTGATCAATCAGATAAAAAATAATGCTTGGATCGGTGCGACTATTGCCGTTCAGAACGAGACGGAGGCCAGAGTTATGGTATGTTAATTTTTATATCGTCATCATTATTGGATAGAATTTGAAATCTCTATGTAAATTCACGAAGTTAAAATTGATTTTTATTTTTTATAAAAGATATTTGTCAAGTGATGTGATTATTGCAAACATATTTATATTAAGTATTTAAACAAATCTAATCTGATAAACTTAACTTTATCGAATTTAGTTGCAAGACAAAAGTTTATCTTTACTTCATTGACTAAATGATTAAATTTTATAAATATTGTCACACGCAAATCAGTCTAGAATATTAAAAAATGATGTAAAAAATTATCAAACTTTGAAAGCTTTATTTTCTAGAAATTTAAAATTGTAAAATTTATCTTTTTTTATAAAAGCAAAAAAGCGCACTTGCAAATTCAAGCGCATATGCGATCTACATAAAATTTAGATAAAAGAAAATATAAATAGAAAGATATACAAATGCTTCTTCATCAAGTAGTTTTGATGACAGGTTTGTGGACCGCGATGGATAAATAACATCATAAATGACAACAAGCCTAATTGGTACCTGAACGGCATTTGCTACGCGACATTGGCTATCAACGCTAATGCATTTGAGAGAGAAGCGGAGGAGCTCCTGTTACCAATTTCGGATTTTAATAGCCAAATCACGTCCAAGAACAACATAGGAATTTACAACTACGGGGTGGGACAAGTTGGTTTCTCCTTGTACATGAATACGCGACACCGTGATACCGTGAATGTCGCAATAGGCAGTCCAGGTGTACACAACTGGAAAGGCGATGCGATATTAGCTGTCGCTTCGATGAGTGGTCCATTTGATCACACGGTAATTCCCTCAGTCGCTAGAGAGCAACAAATTCATAGCTTCAATTATTTCGGTAAAGACATATTTCCTACCACTTTTCTTTTAAAGTAAACGTAAGCAATGGACGAACATGCCAATCACTGATTTCAGAAATATTCTTTCTTGTTGCTACAATCGTTTGTCGTTAATAGCTCTGAAACAAAACAGAAAGCATATATATATAT